GATTTTAAAAAATCTTACTGTTTTTAAATGTACACAAATTAGCTTTTGACTCAACTGAAGCCTTAAGCTTTGCAGCATCCTGTCCCTTTATCACATCTTGACAATATTTACTGTCCTTAAGATATTTTAAATACATTATATTTTTATAAATTAATAAAATATTAAAATATAGTAATTCACCACTATAAATCTATTGGCCCATCTATCTACTATTGATTCTATTCCTCTATGCATGTTTGTAGCTATCTATCTTATCTGTCTATGTAAAATGCACTAGTTTACTGGAGTTTGCCTAGAGAAACACCACAGAAAAATTCTATAGCAGCAAAATATTTTTCACAGTTCTGAAGGCTTTGTTTTGTTTTTCTGGATGCATCTTTGCAGATGGCAGCTTTCTTCCTTTGTCCTGACAAATTCATTTTTTCTATATAATCTCACTCTGTGTACTAAAATTTCTTTTTCATATGGGGACTCCAGTCAGGATGAATTTTAAAACTCACCTTTGGCCTTCTTTTAATTTAGTCACCTCTTTACAGGTTCCATTTCCAACTATATTCACTTTGTTATTTGAGAGGTGGGAGTTTAATATACAACTTTTAGGAGAACACAATTCATCTCACTGCATTGGACTGGACAATGAAGATTTAACTTGTCATTATTATACTATCTTTATGAGATAATTCCTTCAATAAAGAGCATATTAAAAAAGGTGGACCTCTGAAGCCTAACAGGCACTGGATTTAGAAAAATAGAGTGATGTAATTAAATCTTTATTTTATGAAACAGTATTACATTTAAATGTAATGAAACATAACATTAAAAATTATGTAGAAGGGGCTGGAGAGATGGTTTATCGGTTAAGAACACTGGGTGTTCTTGCAGAAGACCTGGGTTCAAATCCCAGCACCCACATGTAGCTAACAAATGTCCGTAACTCCAGTTCCAGGAGATCCAACAGCCTCTTCTGTCCTTCGCAGGCATTGCACAACATGGGTGGACTTACCTACATGCAGGTAATACACACATGCACATAAAATAAAAATATTTAAATTTTTTAAAAATTATGTGGAAAATGTACCAAATCCTTAAAAATTGGATAAATGTTTTAAATTGTTCCATATCAACTACCTGTCTCTATTT